ACCCTTGTGTGACCATCACAAAGCAAAAGACCCAAGAACTAGAAAGGCGAGGCACATGGAGCCACTTATCTCTCTGCCCTTCCATTAACCCCACATGTGTTTATCAGCCAGGTTGGCAAAATAAACTTTAACTTTCTCACTATGTATTTGTATGTGTGTGCTTTTTTCATTTTAACATATCATCTCTGGCAAGTAGGAGACCAAATTCATGACCACTGAGTCAATTTTGACGCTGGGCTAGCCCATGCATTACACAGTAAAGCTATTTTCTATTTGATCATAACCTTTATGGAAGCAAATTGCCAGGGCTTCCCCCATAACATTGCTGCATTAATAGCTGAGTCCAATGAGTTTGCACTCTCTAGGGGTTTCTAAAGGGCAGTAAACCATTTTTTTTTTTTTACATAGAATTTGTTGTTCAACCTATGTGTTGCTTCTTTTTTTTATTTTTTAAGCCAGGAGGGACAGAGGGAAAATGCTTTCTTGATCATTTCTTTTTCTTCAGACCACCTCTCTTGGGTCAGCCTTAAAGCAGGACATTTAAATAAATTAAACATCAAAGATAATTTCATTTTAAAAGAACTTTTGGCCCAATAAGAAATTCTAACATCTGACCAGACATTCACAAATGATGCCTTTGTATTGTTTAAAGGACTATAAACCAAATAAAAAAAATAAGCTCTTCTAATTGAAGTTTTATAAGATGAAATAATCCTTTGAAGAACTATAGAGACTAATTTGAAAAAAATATCAGTATGTTCCTAAATTATAAAATTATTAAAGTAAAACTACACAGGGCCTACATGGATAGTGCTACAGAGATTAAAGAACACACACTTGTTACTAAATACAAATTCTAAAGGAAAAAAAATTGAGATCTTTGGAGAAGGCACGATAACATTTTAATGGCTGGGGAAAAATATGGCCCAAAGAGGAAAGGAATTGACTGGCGATGATAAAGGGGAATTCCCCTTCCATAAATTACATTTATCTGCTTCTCTGATAAAAAGCATGAAATTATTTGTTTTGAATGATATGTCTCCCCTGAGATGCATATAACAGTATCAGAAGAGGAAAATATCTTTTTTTCTCATAAATTTTCTTTGAAGTTGAAAGAAGGGTAAAATTAATTCACAATAAAAACAAAAAAAACCTCACTGCCCTCAAGTCAGTAACTCACAGTGACCCTATAGGGCAGCATAGAACTGCCCCGTGGGTTTCTGAGACTTTAACTCTTTAAGGAATAGAAAGCTCCCACGTTCTCCCTCTGAGCGATTGCTGGTTTTGAACTACCTTTTGGAACTCAGCCCAACACATTACCACGACGCCACCAGGACTCCTTTACTTCTCAATAGTTTTTGTTATTTGAGAAAGATATAAGGGAGTAAAATCTTTTAGATTTTATTTTATTTTTCATTTCATTCTTTTATACTAACAAGTGGTAGATGTGGGATCTGTGAGCAGGCTTTATGATTCCTAAATTAATCCAATTAAAAGGGAAATTGTCATCAATGTTAGTCCATTGTACTCAATTGTTGACTTCACCAAATAAGCATTGGTGTCCGATTACATCATATGCACCTCCTACTGAGGTGATAGTGTTGCTCTGATGCTAAAAGCTACCTCGCCAGTATTTCAAATACCAGCCAAGGTCACCCAAGGTGAAGGATTTCAGTGGAACTTCAGGACTCAGAGCAGACCACAAAGACAGAAGAGGTTGTCTGCTTCTGATGAATGAGCTGCTGAAAACCTCGTGACCAGCACTGAAATGTTGTCGGATCTCGTGCCAGATAATGAGCGCCTTGGGTTGGAAGGCATTCAAAATACAAATGGGGCAGAGCTGCATCTTTAAAGTAGAGGCAGCCTTCATGATTTAGGTGAGATGGAGCATGACTCTAAATAAGAAGAAACTGCTACAAGTATTCATTAATAATCGGAACATGGAATGTATGTGTGTTAGTCTGGGTAAACTAGGGAACAAATCCACAGAAACTCATTTATGTATAAGAGAGAGTTTTATATAAAGGATAAGTGTACATTAAGAAAGCATCCCAACCCAGTGCTGTCCAAGCCCATAAATCCAACATTAACCCATATGCCTGACATCGATCTACAAAGTCCTCCTCAATCTCACAAAACGCATGCAATGATGCCTAATTCAGGAGGAAAGCCGAATCAGTGAGTGTGTAAGCATCTCAGCACTGGCAGGAGTCTCCATGGGGCTGCTTCAGCACCCAGGGCGGCATCAGGGGTAGGTCCATGTGGCTTCTCCTCAGGGGTGTCTTGCAGGAAGTGAGCTTTGCCAGCTGAAGCAGGGAACTGGCTAAGGCAGCAGCACCCTGCTCCAAACCATGAGAGAGCAAGAGACCTGTGAACTAGAAAGGCGAGGCTCACTGAGCCATTTATCTCTCTGCCCTTCAATTAATCCCAAATGTGTTTATTGGCCAGGTTGGCACAATAAACCTTAACTATCTTAGTATGCAATATAAATCTAGGAAAACTGGGAATCATAAAAACTAAATGAAACACATGAAGATCTGTAGTATAGGCATTAGTAAGCTGAAATTGACTGATATTGGTCATTGTGAATCAAGCAATCATATGATTTACTATTTCAGGAAAGACAAATTCAGAAGAATGCTAATGCATTCATCATCAAAAAGAACATTTCAAAATCTATCTTGAAGTACAATGCTGTCTGTGTCAGAATAATATCTACATGCTTATAGGGAAGTTCACTTAATACAACTATTGCTCAAATTTATGCACCAATTGTTAAAGATCATGCTAAAGAAATTGAAAAATTCTACTAAATTCTTCAGTCTGAAATTGATCGCACTTGCAATCAAGTTTAATAATCAATGGTGACTGGAATAAAGTAGGAAAAAGGAGTAGTAACAGCAATTGGAAAATATGATTTTCATGATAGAAATGAAGCTGAACAAGACTAAAACCTTTTTCCAGACTTGGCTCTCGTTCTAAAGAGATCCATATTTGCACACATTCTAAAGAAACGTGATGCAACGCAGTGTGAAAATTATAGAAGAATTTCATAAAAGACAAATTTTCCTGAAGATCATCTGAAAAGTTGCAACAGTACATTAATAAAACTCACGCTGAAATAAGAAGAGTACATGAAACAAGGGATATCACGGCTGATGTCTGATGGATCTTGACTGAAATATGAGAATAGCAGAAAGATGTTTGCTTGTGTTTCATTGCCAATGCCAAAACAAAGCCTTTGGCTCTGTGGACCACACCAAACTATGGATAGCCTTGAGAAGAGTGGGAATTCCACTTATGTGAAACCTGTGCATGGATCTGGAGGCAGTTGCGTGAATAGAACAAGGGAATCCTGCCAGGTTTGAAATAAAGAAATGTGTGTCCCCACCTTGTGTCTTCTCACCATACTTCTTCAATCAGTATGCTAAGCAGAGAACCTGAACTCTATGAAGAAGAATGAGGAGAAGAAGATAAAAGTCGTCAAGGATTTCATCTTGCTTGGATCCACGGTCAATGTTCAAGGGAGCTGTGGGCAAGAGATCAAACAACACATTGCATTGGGTCGGCCTGCAGCACAAGACCTCTGTAAAGTGTGGAAAAGCAAGGTTGTAACTTTGAGGATTGAGGCACGCCTGACCCAGTCATGGTATCTTCTTTCTTTCTTTCCCACGTTATTTTCCATGGCCTCATATGTATGTGAATGTTTAACACAGAATGTGAAAGACCAAAGAAGAATCTGTGACTTGCATCATGGTGCTGGTGGAGACTACTGAACGTACCACGGACTGCCTAAAGAACAAACAGTCTGTCTTGACTGGAATACAGCCAGAATGTTCCTTAGAAACAAGGAACATCTCCCTCACTTTGAACCTGTGGTGAGGGGAGACCAGGCCCTGGCAGAGCACATCATGCTTGGCGATGTGCCAGGGCCGTGAGAAGAGAGAGACTGGACAAGAGGGACCGACACAGTGGCTGCAACAGTGGGTTCAAACGTAAGAACAATCATGAAAATGGAGCAGGACTGACCGTTATGAGCTGGAGCTGACTTGCCTGCACTGAACAACAACAGCAGCAACGTCTTCGCTGCAAACACACCCCCAACCCCCGCCCCTGGTAATATTCCTGGTGGCTATACACATAGACTTCACCAGATGGCATATGTAAGAATCAAATTGCCTTATCTGCAGGAAGCGAATAGTAAAGCTCAATATCAGAAGCCCAAACAAGGCCAGCTGCCGACTCTGGAGTCGATCAGCAATTGCTCACTTGGATTGAAGAGGAAGGAAACGAAAACAAGCCCACAGAACCAAAATCTGGCTTGAAAATATTCCACCTGAATTTCCAGACTATCTGAGGAGCGTATTTGAAGCGTTGAATTCATTGAACAGTTCTGACAGAAGACCTGACCAGCTGTGGGATGACATGAAGAACATCACTCATGACAAAAAGCAAAAGGTCACTAGCAGATGAGAAAGGAAGAAAGAAAAGATCCACATATAAGTAGAAGAGAGACGTGTCCTTCAATATAGCGTAGCTAAAGCAAGTGGAAGAAATGAAGTAAATGAACTGAATAGAAAATTTCATAGGGCTGCTCTAGAAATCTAAGTCAAGTTTTATAAAGAATGTGCAAAGACCTAGAGTTAGAAAGCACAAAGAACGCGCTGTGCATATTTCAAGCTGAAAAAAAAAAAAAAAGAACATTTCAACCTTGAGTTACAATATTGAAGGATTCTGTGGGCAAAATACTGAATGATGAAGGGACCATCCAAAAAGGGAGAATACAAAGTCACCACATGAGGAAGAACTGGGTGGCATTGAACCATTTCAAGCAGTACGATACGATCAAGAACCCATGATACTGAAGGAGGAAGGTCAAGTTGGACTGAAGGCATTAGCAAAGAAAAAAAAGCCTCCAGAAATGGACAAATTGCCAATTGAAATATTTCAACAAGCTGATGAGGCACTCACTCATGTATACCAACAATTTTGGAAATTACCTCCATCTTTGTACCCACTCCAAAGAAAAGTGACCCAAAAGAATGCAGACATTATAGAAAAATATCATTAATATTATGTGCAAGTAAAAGTTTGTTGAAGATCATTCAAAACAGCAGCAGACCATCAACAGGAAGATCTAAGAAATTAAAGCTGGATCCACAATAGGACATGGCTGAAAGGAAGCCACTTCTACTGTTAGATGGATCCTGGCTGGAAACAGAGGATACCAAAGAGGTATTTACTTATATTTTATTGATTATGCAAAGCACTCATAATGCATGTCAGGAAAAGCATGTATCAGGGTTGTATCATTTCACCATCTTTATTTCATCTGTGTGCTAAGCAAGTAATCCACGAAACTGGAGTACATAAAAAAGAAATGCGGCACCAGATTGGAGAAAGGCTTATTAACAACATGTGAGATGCAAATGATATCACCTTGCTTGTTGCAGCCTTTGCTATAAATTATACTTGAAGAAAACCAAATTTCTTACAACTGGACCAATGGAAAAAATCATTATAAACAAGAAAAGATTGAAGTTGTCAAGGATTTTGCTTGGATCCACAGTCAAGGCTCCTGGGAACAGTGGTTAAGAAATCAAATGACGTATTGCTTTGGGAAAAACCTGCTTCAAGAGAAAGGATGTGCTTTGAAGCTAACTTTCATCTGACCCGAACGTTTTCTTCAGTGGCTCCACTGGTGCATTCAGAAGTTTCATGATGCATAAGGAAGATGGCAGCAGAATTGGTGCATTGGACGCATTTTTGTGTTGGTGAAGCACGTGGAAAGTACTGTGGACCGCCAGGGGAACAGACAGCTTTCTCTTGAAAAAGTACATTCAGAATCTCCTTGGAAGCAATGATGACCAGACGTCATATTGTCCTTTGGACGTGTTATCAGGAGATATCATTGCCTTTAAAAGGACACTGTGTTTGGTCAAGCGGAGGGTCAGTGCAAAAGATGGGAGTGTTCCAAGGAGACAGATTGACATAATAATTGGCTTCAACAATGGGCTCCAACAGAGCAATGCCTTTAAAGGTGGCACAGGGCCGGGCAGTGTTACTTCTGTTGTAGATGTGGCTGCTGTGAGTTAGAGCCACATGGGTGATACCAAACAACAATGATGAGAGCAGCAAATAATTTTTCTTGGAAGACGGACAGACTGCTCCTTACAAGTGAGCACGTGAGATTTCATCTCAAGTACTTTGGGCATGTTAACCAGGGAAAACCAGTTCCCTGGAAAAGGGTATCATTCTTGGTGGACTATCCCCCCCAAAGAGGAAGACCCTCAATGAGATGGATTTACACAGAGGCTACAGCAGTGAACTCAAGCGCAGAAGGTAAGAATGGCACAACACCAGTAGTGCTTCCCGTGTTGCGCATAAGGTAGCTATGGATCAGAGCTGACTCAATGGCACCGAACAATAGCAAGGGGTTCTACTTTTCTGATCGAACCTTGATTGAGAGACCGGATTATTCACACTGTAGGTTATATATAAATGGCACCCCCTACAGTGCCTGGGGGCCAAATTTGAAGTCTTAAATGTCCAAATCCCCACAGCTTTTAAGTGGCATATTGGCTAGACTGTTTTGTCTCTTGCTTGCTGCTCTAGGCAGAAGCTAATAGAGTAGATACCACACACACACACACATATATACACATATATATGTATATATGTATATATATATTCCAATATGTTTGGGAAATACTGGAAACCTCCCACCCTTGCATTAGTTCCTGCACCGTTAACACAGTTGTCTCTGTACAGCTATGCACTAAAGTAAATATTTCAATCCAAGCTTCCCAAAATGTACTTGACTGTGTTCTAATTTTCTGGGCAGTGCCTGTTAACATCCATAGGGAATTACAAAACATACTTAGAGAAACTCTGGGATGCATTCTGATAAGCTCCATCATTTAGCATTTGACTCTCATAATTTCTAAGTGCTATTCAAGTACAGAATTAACGTACTTTAAAATGTTCATTTAACTAGTCAAAATTGAATGTAACCAGGGGAGGTGATAATAAGAACATAATGAAGAACAATGCTTGCTGATGCATAGCGCAATTCACTCTGACACTTTTCAGAAGATCTTGAAACACAAAAGAAAAGTTAGTGGCAAAAAATGCATCCTGGCATAGAAAGGCATACAGTATTATGCCATGCTAATGAGAAGCAGTAATGGAAGAAATCACTGCAGAGTTTTCTCCCTCCCTGATGCCTTTTCCCTTTTAGTGATGACTGAGAAGCTGAATCCATGAGTGGCAAAAAGGCAATGAGAATAGGAAAACGACATCCATTTACGAAGGCTTGTTCTGGATTAGCTTTGGGTGAAATGAAGGAAAGCTCAGCTCAGCACAGTCCACACCCTTCATTAGCACTGCAACACAGCCACTGAATGGCAGATGAGACAGTTCCTTGGCACACTTATTTCAAGAGCAATCCAAACGAACTTATAAAGTGTTGTTGGTCGATGCCCTCCAGTCAGCCCCTGACTGATGGGGACCTCCTAAACAATGGGATCAGACCATTGTGAGAACTGGGTGATTCTTTGGAAATAGATTGCTAGGACTTTCTTCCTAGTATGTTTTTGTGTGGAGACCCTGCATCCGTTAAGCATCACAGCAACATGTAGGGCTCCAGTGACAGACAAGTAGTGACTGCCCTTGAGGACCATTGTCTAAGAATGAACCCGAGTCTCCATGGAAGGTAAGAATTCTAACACTGAACAAGTTGCCTTGTTTAAAAATAGGCTAAATTTTGATCCTTTCTGTTTCTCCCAGTGAAGCATATAGTAGTTCTCAAAGAAAGTATTTTGGGTGGTTTTAATGACTGGGGAACATTTTTGGTATTTTGGTGAGAAGAACTGCGTATACAAAATAGCCTGTCATACAAGAAAGACTGCACTATAAAGAAGTGACCTGCTTAAAATGTGCATCACTGATCCACTGAGCCCCACGGAAAAGTAGTCTATCTGGTTCCATAAATTTCCTTTTTCCATTCCAGTCACCTCACCTTGTGAGCTATGAGTATCTCAACTATGTGTGGATCTGAATAGCTGATAAAACTTATTGCAGAAAGAATGAATAAGGCTCAACTTTCAAGTGCTCATTTACATATCAAAAGAGGAAATAATCAACTCAAAGAAATCTCG